TTTTTTTTTTTTTTTTTTTTTTTTTTTTTTTTTTTTTTACTTTGCAGTTACGCATTTTTTTTTTTTTTTTTTTTTTTTTTTTTTTTTTTTTTTTTTCAAAACAATAGCCCCTTTTTTTTTTAAAAAAACCAAAAGAAACAAAAAACAAACAACACAAAACCCAAACAAACAAAAGAAAATGCCTTCATTCTCATAAAAAAAAACCAACCTCCCCAACCAAACTGAAAATGATACCAACAAAAAAATCCAACAAACAATAAATGGCATAAAGGCTCTATGCAGTGCATTGTGGTCTTTTCCATTTAAATGGGAACCAGCTGCGTTTTCCAAAAAATAGCTCCATAGCACAAGGCATCCTCCATTTCTTTATAAAAGCTCAAATACTCAGCTGAACTATAGATTTGAATGGCTAAACATTCCTAAGTAATTCACTACAGTTGTTGCAATTCCTAACAGCAAAGCATGAAACTAACATGAAGATTCATGCTCTTTTGTTACAAGCCAAGAAATGTAGCCCATCTTTTCTGTATTAACTTATGCCCAATCTGGTGAAATACTTTGTTATGCACAATACAGCTTTGTTATGCAAAGGGTAAGAGCTTGCTCTTTATTGTTTTAAAATATCAGTAGAGGTAATGGCTAGCAAGAAGATATTAACTAGCATTGCCAGGACTTATCTATGCATATGCTGGGCTAGGGGAATATGATGGCATTTTAAACCACAATATGGATGTGAAAACACAATATAGATGTGAAGAATCAGATTTCAGGTGGGGTGGTAGCATCCAGAAAGGGTAGTCTGTCTTCAGAACAGGGCCAGAAATGAAGAAAAAGGCATATGGAGATGAGGAGGAAGCAGCAATCGCCTTATATAATTCAAGAGTTCAGTTAGAGAAACCAGATTATAACCAAAAAAGAAGACTGTTGTGGACCCTTCCAGCTGCACTACCAAAAAGCTCCCAGTGGGATAACTTGACTCAAGGACTTGACACAGGGCCACTGATTTGAATGCAGGGCTTGGCTCCCCCATTGCAGTGGGTCACTCCCATTCCCAATTTAGCTGAAGTTTGAGTTTTGTTATGTTCAGCATTCTGTCAATTTGACTGATATGTTTACAACATCTACAACAGCTGTTTGCAGGTAACAAAGCCTTTGGAAGGGAAAGCATACAGTTAGAACAGCAAGAAGAAAATGTCTAGATAACAGAGTCATGACAGCATTTATAACTTAGCATTTCTAACAGGAGGGTGCTCCAGCATTTTAATAAGGTTTCTTCCACACCTATTTGCTATGCTTCTTCAATGTTTCAGTATAATGTGCAGTCTGCCTACCAAATATTCAAGATATCTAAATGCTCTACAGTTAAGTTGTCTTTAAAGTCTTCCTTATTATTAAAACAAACAGCTGTCCCCCCTCCAAGACACTTTCACTCAAATCTTTAGGGTAATGTAAGCTACTAAACAGAAGTAGCATTTGTTGTATTACATATCTTCTCAGCAATTTCTAGTGAAATAGCTCAACTGTTTGCATGTGATTACCTTTTAAAATCATGCAGTCATGACTCATCAAGAAAATATGTGTTGCAGCATCCAGAACAGAAAAGCTTGGGCAGTGGCAAACACTGTACTTAAAGGAAAGGATTTGCCTTTTTTTTGATAGCAAGATCAACCACAACCATGTATTTCTAAATACTAAATATTGGTTCCTATATTTTCTTTTAATAAAATTAATTACCCCTCACAAAAAATAAAACTGCTATAGGATAATTTGCTTCTGTGAACATCTCACATTTCATGTGCAAGCCTGGAGTTTCCAATAATACAACTAATGACATCACATTTTTCAGTATTTGCAAAGATAAATACCACTGGGCTAGCCTGAAGACCTGTGAACATGAGACATCTAAAATATATTTTCAATTCCAGGCACAGGAAAAAAAAA